AGGAAGATAGTAGAGAAAGAGATATGTACTTTCAAAAACAAATGTATGACAATAAAGAAATGTGAAGAAATTGTTAAAATGCAGAGCCATGCATAAGTAGAAAGACAAAAGAATTTACACAAAGAAATGACCTGATCAGTATCTCTGGCGTACTAGGTGCTGCAAATGCTTTACCAGAAGATGCTGGTCCAGAGCCTCTTTGGTCCCAGGTTCAATCACTTAAATAGGAGAAAGAGCTCAGTTCCTAAGATAGCTCCTGTGTGCTCTGATGTACCCCAGCTCACCCTCACGCGCTGCTGGAAGTGGTAGCGTGCAAGCACGTTCTGCCAGGATTTCCAGCAGAAATTCAGCAGAATTCTCAACTGGGCCGATACAGGTGTGTTTATAGCTAGTGCTTTGCAACATAGGTAGATAAGTAGTCGCCTTATCTTTACCAGAAGAATATATAGAATTGGGGACTAATAGTTTAAAGTTTGACTTTATTTGGAAATGCTATATATTTTCCAAGGCAACAGTGGAGGATAGCCTCAATCTCTAGGATGATAATTTGGGTTTAACCATTTGACCGAATTCATGAGTGGCACACCAGATATTAAAATTCATTCTCTTCTTGGTTTATCATTCAGGGTCTTATCCTACTATCATAATTTAAAGTACAGAAAACATACAAGATATTTCTGTGTAAGTGCAGAAGTCTTCTCAAAGACCTTCTTAAATTTTGTTTTGTATTACAAACCTTATTTTACTGTCTTTTTATCTCCTGCACATATTTATGCATCAAATCTGACGTTAATTAGCAGTGGTGGTTTTCATGAAATCATATAATAGTATAGGCATTCTTATGCTACAAATATCTTTGCTTTTCAGATGTTAATTTTGCAGTTGTGCAAGTATCTTCATTATCCTTGTCTAGTCAATTCTGTTCTTTATAAACATGCTTTGTTTGTAGTTCTATAGTTTAGACAGAACTTCTTTCTCTTTGTTTACTCTATTATTCTACTTAAGATGAATGGCAGACTTATGCGGCTGTGCTGTGTTCAGCACAATATAAGCTGTTTTAGTCGTCTAGGACTTTCCCATGCCTTTTTGAACATGTTTGTGAGTGAGTTGAAGTTATCTTGTTAATTTCCAACACCCAGAGATAAATGAGATTAAGCCAGCTCATCTGCAGCCAGGTTTCTCCCAACTTCTATACCAGTTCTTTATAAATAGCTATTTATAAGGCTGTCTTCACTTCATAACTGTTTACTTTTGCTTTTACTTACAACTTTCAATGTCTCTGCTGTTCTACAGTTGCTAATTTCATCAGCTTCTGTTTATTGATGAACCAGCTTTCTCTTTCGCACTTTCTTTACCAGCAATATATGTAATAAAAGGTCTCCTCTTTCCCCAAGCCCTCTGACTAGCAGTAACTTATTGTGTATTTACTCATGTAGCCTCTAACTTATTCTGCTTTAACAGAGTGTTTGTTCTTTCTCATTGTCTTCCTTTCTTTTCCATTTGTATTTCAGAGTTATTTTTTAGATTGCTTACTAACATCTTATCTGAGTAGACGTATACGAAGTCACACTGAACTTAACTATGCTTCAGCAGAGGAACTGTAGTCTGTTGAAAATTAAGTGTTATAACTTTACATTTTCCGCAATTGCGATACTACCCTGCTGACTACCTTTTGCTCTGGAATCTCCCCAGATTTTTTTTAATTCTTGCATGTTTACTTTTTCAAAATTCTAAGTTGTTATGCTTCTGAATTCTATGAATTCAGTCCTGACATGGAAAAAAATGATGTATATTGTATTCAGTTTTCACATAGGTCTATGCAATCACTATCACATCTAATACTGAAATCCCTAAAGCCTTCTGTTGTCCCTCATGTCCTCTATGTGAGTCAATATTTCTGATACAGGTTCTTCAGGCAAACTTGAATTGAGGTTGTATTGTTTGGATTAAAATGACTTCTGTTACCAAAGACCTATGAAAACATTTAATTTCTTGTATTTCTTATATGAGAAGGAGTTAAAAAGTGTGGCAGCCAGGTTTCTGAGACTCCTGGAGCCAGCTCCAGGATCGAGAGCTAAGCTGCTCATTTAATTTTTAGGGCACTCTCTCTAAGAACCTCAACTACAAAAATATTTTCAAATTAGCTGGTGATATTCACATGGTTTTGAAATGGGATATCATCCAGGTATTTATCTTCTGGCAAGATGAGTTAATACAGTAACTACTATAAACGCTGCAGGAGGGCTAAAAATCTGTCTGTCTGAAGTCAAAATACAACCAGCATGTAGCCAAACTCAAAGAGAAGGCAGTAAGAATAATTGGATGCTATTATGATTTTATTATTACAACCAGAGAGCCCCTTTCTGATTAACATGGAGACCTTAATTTAAAGTCATGCTATCATTGATTCTGCACAAAGGTTTGGAAGTCTTGGCAATAAATGCAGCAAGTGCTGTCTACCCACTTGTCAGAAACTAGGTGACATAGAGCAAGGTGCTATGCTAAAGAGGTGTCAGCCACCTTAGGTCAGCATGGCAAAGCTCTCCTGCCCTGAGCAGGTAGTATTTGCTCAGTGTTAGTTCCTGCTGATTTAGTCTTTCTTGGCTTACTCACAAGTGGCCCATCTATAACCAAAGCCCCACTTTCCAGTGAAGTGAAGCAGAAACATGGAAGCCACCTGTGGCCCTCACATGGCCCATACATAGTGCCAGCATTTCAGTATATGGGGCTGTTCTGCATAACCATCTTCCAAGAGAGGGCAGCTGGTGAAAGGATTGTGACAGTCTTGCCTGGCTCCGGATGGGCCAGCGGCTAATTTGATGCTAATTACTCTGTTAGTAATTTCCTCCCTAAACAGACGCCATCTCCTATGGCATTAAGCTTAGGGAATGCTTTCCGTAATTAAAGCAAAAGCAGTGTTCCCAACCCAATTCCCCACAAGATCCATCCTCACCCTTAATCTGAGCTACACACAGTACAATTAGTTATTTGTGTTTCTGAATTAGCAGAAGACTAAGCTCTAAAAATCCAATAATACATTAGAAAGACGTATTTGCAATGGGTTTATCCCTGAGCTCCATTCAGTGCAGATTTGGCACACTTCCTGTAGTCTAAGGTGTAGAGAACAGAGGAAGTCAGCAGCTATTTACACAGAGCTCAGCACTGCATCTCTTCCCTTTGTGAATGGTATGGAACCACTTTGGTGTCTAGACATAAAGAGCCTATGGTGAAAGACTACTGTAGGATCAGAAGTAAAAATAGATGACAGTTGCTCCCTGGTGTAGTACTACATGAAGAATATAGGGAATGAAGAAAAACTGATAGTGCTAAGTACTTATCCTGCCTTCCTAATGATCAAAGGAGGATGCAGTAGGAAATCAGCTACCAGACTTGGGTTGTGTCTGTGCTAGCCTGTCTCACACTCCCTGTGGCAATGATGTATGCTTTTATGGTTACAAGTTTCAGGTGATCACTGAAGACAGAGGCAAAAGTTTCAGTGTTCTTGAAAGGGAGAGAAATATCAACTCCAGCTATCTCATAATGACTAAGCTCACTAAGCTCTAATTGTGTTTCTTGCTTTTTGTCTTTTATCTCTTTCACGGTTTCTTCTTCTGCCCTCTCTTGTATATATACTGTTAGTTTCTCTGGAGAGAGAGATTTGCTCCTCTAGATCTTGTTGAGGCTGAATTCAGCAGAGGTCTCTTGTGCTAACACTAATGCTTCCTGTAGAAATAAATGGGGCTTCAGGGAAGTTGGAGCTTGGTGATGCTTGTAAATTAAATTTATTTTAAAGTTTTTATGTTGAATGCTGTGAACAATTATACTGCATAAAGAGACTGAGACATCTCCAAAGTATAAGCCTAGGGGATAGGAGCACAAATGCAGGGCCTTCATTCTCATCAGGTGCTCTCAGAGCTCGTTTTCACTTATAGACCAGGCATGGAGGCTTTCTTTGGAGAGATGAAAAATTCCACCCACTGCATTCATCTCCCACAAAAAATAGCAAAACCTTATTTATGGCCTCTTCCTCTCTCTCCAGAGATGTCACTCATGTCAAACCTGCATGTTTGCAGTTATTTCCAAAGTTTTAATAAAGACTTTGCATTGCATTGAGAGTAGGATGTACACTCAGAGCTAAAGAGGCCTGCAGCTACTTATGCCTTTCTTTTCAGGGTTTGTCTGGAGACTTCACACTTGCCTGATACCCCTTGGTTTGTGTGTGGCTGGTGTCGGATGATCAGGAGATGCATGCAAAGCAGTGGCAGTGCCATTATCTCCAGTTGACTACAGACTGAGGATAGGTCGGAATATGGGAAGGTGGGGATAAGAGGGTATGAGGAGGCCCAGTTAAACTCTAATGCCAGCAGGAGGGTGCTTGCACTTGTGGGGAAGTGAGTTCCTGTCAGTTGCCAGAGCTATGAACAGCAGAAACTTTTGTCCTTCAGAAAACCCTGCGTGGTTCCCTAATGGAGCCATGAATCGTGCAATGGCTGGCTGCTGACAAGGGAGCACGGACTGTGCTTTTCTTCCCTGCTAGGATGGCCTCAGTTCTCATGGCACAAAAGACGCTTTATAGAGACATTTTGGTGCCTAACACAGTAGCCTCTACCCTCTTCTTCCTCATGCACTGAAGAGTGAGGATAAAGCTGAATGCCTGGGTATTAAGTGGGTATTGTTCATTCCTGTGTTGAATGAAGCATGGGACTTGCAGAAAACCCTTTACGTTATATAATTAAAGACTGATTATAATATTTAAGGCAACTGCTTTATGGTCACACAAGTAGTCTTAATTCTGGTGATTCTTAATGTTTCAGAGCTTGATTTTGCAAACAATGATGTTCCTTTGACCCTATTTTATATACATAATTTTCACTTAACTCAAGAAAGTTTTTTTCACGTGGGCTGATGAATTGAAGAGCAATAGTACTGACAGCTTCTCATTTCCTCAGGGTCAGCTGCCAGTTGACTATTTTCTTCTCCCTTCCTATATCTCTGCACAGGAGTGCCAAGGAAGTACTGCAAGAAGGACTGCCAGTGAAACAGAAGAGATTACTTCTAAGAAAAGACAGCTCCACATCCAGGTGCAGAGCCTCACTGCTCTTCTATTTGAGTTGGGAACATGCTTTCATTCACGGTATAGTCAAAGGGGCTCTGTGTATCTGCAGGGATTGGAACTAATCATCTGTGTTCTAAGAGTTTAAAACAAAGTAGAGTTTCTTTTACTGGGAATTTTTGAGCATTGCAAGAAAATGTGCAGAAAAAAACTTTCCATTTCAGCATGGCCTATAGTAAGTGCCAGCTTGTAGTTCTTACAGGTATCTTTAAGGAAATGCCAGGAACATCTCTTAATGCAAAGCTAATTTTGTGGAGAAATCATTCTGCCAAAGTAGGACAATACTAAGTATACAACTGTAACTTTACTCATTCCTCATATGTATTATGATACTGAATTTCGATGGATTTTTAATTATGTGAGAGTAGACTACATGCCCTATACAATATAACCATGTAATTTAATGACTCACCTGAAGACAATGCAACCTTAAAGTGCTCAGCCCTTTCTGGGATTTTGTCCCACATATGTACAATAACTACAACTCGAAAGCTCAGAGCAGCTGTGTAAATTTTTTGCATAATTGTGAGCTGTTTGAAGGTAAGTGGTCTTTGATTCTGTCAAACTACCAGTTTCTAAAACTGATTCCTTTTTTCAAATTGCATGGAATTGATCTTGGATAAGTCAGTGACTCAGACGTTGTACCTGGAGCCATGTTTGATGGCAGTGTTGCTAGCTTATTTCATTAATTTGCCAGGTTTATTATGTAGACATGTTTTGTGAAGGTTAATAATGCTGGCAGAGCACTCACCCCCTTTTGTATAACTCTTGTGCCCCCCACATCACAGGATTTGAGCGCCTTGTAGTCTTTGTGTTTGCTGTTTCAGCATAGCAATTCAGGGAGGAACAATTTTCCCTTTGGAAAAGCCGAGCAATTGGGAAGGTAGAAGTCAAATGCTATATCCAGATCAGTTTTAGGCAGCAATAAGTACCCAAGTCAAAGATGTAAATCTGCAAAGCTTCTGCTCAGTTACTGTCAGCTCAGGGAGCTCAGTAAGTTCTCCAGAAGTGCCTCAGCGTATAGTGGAATTCATAAACTAAATAGTCTTCTGTTCATCTCACCTGAGGTGCTTTATTTAGTCAATATTTTTATGGGTTTGGGCTTTGCATACAGTGAAAGACCAGGCAGGTGATGCTGCCTTCACCCTTTATACATAGCTCAGTAGTTAGAACACTCAGTCAGGACACAGGACACTTGCCTTTGATTTCTTTCCACCATGTGGGAGTTAAAACCTGTGTTTCTCACTCTCTGGAATAATAAATACTCTTGCCCTCCTAGCTTAATCATACGTTGAACTGTTCTGCAGTAGTTCAGACTGTTCAACTCTCTGTTGAAGAGTTCAACTGTTTTGCAAGTGTTCTTGTACCATCACACTGAAACTGTTCTACTCTGCCTCTGCATGTGGTGATAAGGATCACCTGGGACCAGGAAAAAGATCAAGTGAGAACATGGCTCTTCAGTGGTTAGCACCTTGGGGGTTTAGGTGGAAGGGAGGAAGGAAGATGGGACAGCTATAATCCAGTCAGTCTCTGCTTAGTTGCTCTACTTAAAAGCATGGTCTAGTGTCTCCCATCTTGCTTCTTCTCTGTTTGTTATTACATCTACATTCTTCTCAAAGTCATAAAGTACCTCAGTTTCCATATGTGCATCTTTCCCTCTTCCTCTAATCTGGCTTTTGTCTGTCTGCTGCCAGAAGTGTTGAATGTAAACTGCAGCCAAGCTTCCTAGCTGTAAAAGTGACTTACAAGAATATCTTTATATTGTTCTTATTTGAAATAAATGAACTTTACTGCAGATGAACTTGCAATGAAAATGACAGTAAATTTGGGACTGTAGAAGCATTTGGCCAGTGAAACTTCATTCCACCATGCTCCCTTGCTTCCCAGGCTTGCAAATGCAGGCATTCACAAATCACTTGGTTGGCAATGTTCCCTCTCTAGCTAAAAGTAACTCATCACATGAGGCCAATTGCACTGTCTAGGGAGGAGCAAGTCAGAGAGCTGTTATCTGTGACTGCATGCCGTTCTGTGTGGAGGTCTTGGAGGGAGGCTTATGTTCAGAAGAAGCCCAATTTAGAACACAAATAAAAGTGAAAAATAGATCTAGTCCTTTAATTCCAGGTAAGGTTAAGGGGAAAGTTGACAGCAACTTGCTGTCAGAAGCTTGTTTGTGAGCTTATGTCCTTTTCTAGCATGTACCAATTAAAGGTGATTAATATGCAGTCTCTTTGTTTGAGTGAAATTTAAACAGCATGCAATTTTCTCTGGCAGTTTAGTACATGTGAAATACTCTGCCGAACTCTGGAATTTCATGCTGCAGATGCATAAATGCATCCCCTTCTCTATACTCTCGTAACAAGAACACGAATACCAGCCAACACCCAGTACAAACTTGCCTTTGAAAAGACAGAATGGCAAAACTGGTTTCATAGGGTTCCCCTCTGAGAGAATACCATTCTTTAAACATCCTAGATATTAAATGCTCATTGGAAAATTAAGTAGTAAAACAAGCTTGTGTATATGTAAAACCAGTTATAGAAACCAGCTGAATTATGAACCAGCTGCTTGCTTATGAACAGTCTTAACAACGTGGTGTTTTTCACATAACGAAGTCATTTCTGTTTACTTTTAACATGGGAGGTGACTGATCCTTTCCTGTTGGAAAGGTATAGCAAGTGTTTGGGAAGATGTGGACCATAATGTTTCCAAAAGCTGAATGGCTTCAGCTCACCTCCTTTGTTTAACAGGAAAGATGCTTCAGGTATTGCAAAGAACACTGAGAATCCCTTGAGCACAAAGAGAATATTTGATATTCCTGACATTACAAAAGAATAGAGTAGGAGAGTGTTCCTATTTAAAATTCTAAACTTTCTGTAAGTACGGGCTTCTGTTTGAAAACAGAGTCCCATAGGTAAACTGAAATGACAACTGAGACATCAGCCTTTTGGTATAGATTTAAGAACCTATCATTAGTATTCATGTTTGAAAGTCTGGACGGATACTTACAGTTTCTCCAAATATCTCTCCTCTTAAAAGGAAATTAGATATTAATTCAAACCTGCTATGGATATTTATGGTTTACCAAAGTTAGGATTTATATGGAAATTATGGTTTCATTTATATTTAAGGCTTCCTAAGCAAGTAGATTTTCCTGGAGTGGTGCTGAGTATCAGTGGAGTCTTATATGTTATGTATGCTGAAACCACATCAGATATCCTGATATCCAGATACTCTTCCTTTCATTGATTTTCAGGAAATGGAAGGTGTGGGCTCTCATCACCTTACAATAACGGGCTCCAGAAATAATTGTCATCGAAGATGAGATGTGCCATGCAAGCCTATGTAATACAGAAAAGGTTGTGGAGGAAATGAGATTGTTTTTAAGTGCTGATTTTCATAATGGTTGTCCAAGTGGCTATTACCTATGAAATCTGGGATCCTTAGAACTGAAAATACAAGTACTAATACTTGAGATAAGGCTTGCATGGATTAAAACCAGGGGCAGATTCAGTCTTCTATTTGGTTTGAACTACTGATAGGAGAATAAGAGGCCATACAAAAAGCTGTGCTGCAGTGGCTGGCAGAAAAATGAGTAGGGTGTAGAAATAGATAATACAGTCAGCTTTACTGCTCCTCTAACATTTCCTTCATTAGAAAATAGGAGCAGTGAGTTACTTACATGGAGATATCATCTAAATGGAGATACTTGAAATTTTCAAACAAATTAGCAGATTTAGGACTAATAAAGTTGACTGCAGGAGACAACTGAAAATGGATTTGTTTACTTGATGAAAAGGTCCTAGGATGAGATAATTGGTTGTTAGTTAATTTAATGAGACAGATGACACAGCTATTTTTCTAGATGCACGTATGACCTTGGTCAGTTTACAAACCAGAATCAGTTTTCCCAGTTTGAAATGGAAGTGTCTAGAATTTATTTCATCCTGAATGAGTTGGATTTACTGTCATTTTCATTGCAAGTTTATCTGCAGTAAAGTTCATTTATTTCAAATATATGAAAGCCTTTGTTTCATATTATACAGTAGTTCAACAAAATGGGCAGCTAGTGGTAGAAGATTTTTAAATATTACTTTAACAGTTGGCTTAGCATTGTCAAAACATGAAGCAGCATACTGCTTTCCTGATATATCAGTCCTGTCCTAGGAAATGTAAATGCAAGTGAACTTCTATTTCTAGAAAAGATTGTTGAGATCCTTATAATGAGGTTTTCCAACAAAATAGCACATAGCATAGGTGAGAAAAAAAAGCAAGTACATACTTTTAACATTAATTTACATTGAAGGAAAGATATGGCCAAGGGAGAAGACGATAAAAAAGAAATTGGCTTCTTTTCACGATAGTCTATGGGTTTCACTGTCCTGGAGCTGTCCAGCTGGTTCTCTGTGCGTGGGGCAGATGAGAGATGACAGACTTAATCTTATTTTGCTTCATGCTGGTGACTCATTTGAGCTTTAGTACATGTGTTTTGAAGTCCTGTAATTAAACAGCAAGGACTCAAAAGGGCACAAGGAATGACATACCATGTAAGTCACTGGAGTGGTGTTTCCAGCATGGCTTGGTATATAGCTGAGAGCCTGAGAAAACTAGGTCTTCTAATTCGGTATCCTGTGTAAGCACTTGCATATTTTCTTAGAACCTTTTTTTGACTGCATCTTACTTTATAAGAAAGAAATAGCTTTGTAGACAGCCAAAGGTAGCATCTGGCAGGCCATTAGGCTAGTAGCTAACCCTTAATGACTCAGAAAAAAACTTTATGTCTTGCCCTGATTTACTGGTAGATCATGCACAATCAAGCTGACTTTCAGTTCGATTACTAGTGCCAGGTATGCACAAACAACATAAAGACTGTGACACAGGTGTTCTCTCCCAATTTCTTCTTTGCAGTTTGAAACGTTTCCATTTCTTGCCTGAACTGCACCGTTTGGGACTGCGTTGTTCCTTATCTCC